TATTTAATCTATATAATAAAAGGGCGGTAAATTCCTTCAGTTGTTTCCCTTGGAATGTGCATAGGTCTACATTTTGTTGACTATCATCGGTGCATCCTGCAGCATCCATACGACTACCGAATTTTAAACTGTATTACTAAGCAATGCGTTGTATTACGAAGCAATGTGTGTATCAAAAAAGAAATTAAAAATAGTATTACTCAAAACTTTATTTTACAAAACTAAACTAATCAAATGACCTTGTACGAGCTAAAATGTTTTCAAGATTCTCTGTTTACAGTAACAATATAATAGAATAAATGTTTACTATTTGCAATGAAACTTTATTGTCGATATGTTACTGAAGCATTTAGCATAGAAGATACTTCAGTTTGTGAGATACAATACTGCTACATCCCGCAATTAAAAGGCATATTAAAAGATAATAAAAAGATGTGTGATGCTTGCACTCAATAAAATGCTGACTTAAACTTGCTCTCAATAAAAACATGTATGATACTTGTACTCATTACAAATATGTGTGATACTTGCACTCAATAAAACATGTTATTGTTTAAGGTAGTAAAGTTTACGCTACATTTGTGTAAGTGGAATAAAACAAACGTTTTGCGTAAAAATTCAAGTTATTTTAGAGAGACACTGTTTATATGTTCATGAGTGACGTTGTACAATTATTGATGCAGTTTTTTCAATTCTTGGACGAGGATGCGTTCATGAGTGACGTTAGCTACGAGGGAAAACATAATATCGGATATGCGCAAGTGCAATGCTATGTAAAAGGTATAGCAAAAATGAATTGTATGTTAATTTGTATGTCATGATTAATAAAATGTATATTAAATTGCTATACAAAATATTATAGTTTACATTATGTTATGATGTTTTCCCTTACCTCACTGAATCATTTATTGTGATATCATCGACAATATAACACAATTGCATACTTTTTCTAAACAAAATTAACCAGATAATTTATATTAATTATTGGAATTTAATTTGAAATTGAAGTGTACAATTTCTCATTGTTTCATGGCATCGTTTTTATACTGTTTTATATCTCATGAACATACATTTAGCTTCATTTAGAAAACGTTATTCACTAGAACTGTGTTGGTGTGCCGTTAAACCAACCAAACAAACAAAATCTACTCCGAGACATTATTGTCAAGAGTGCTGAAAAGCCCTTTTTCAAGGATATATACGATAATTTACTTATGGTTATTTATGAGATAATGAAATATTATCACTCAGATTATTCACAGTTTCACTCAATTATAAAAAAGGTCTGAATTATAAATAATAAAACACATTTAAGATTCCAGTGATGCGTAAAGTATATAACACTTATCAATTTTTTTTATTTACTGTGAACAATGAAAGTTATACTAATTATTAGACGAAACCTAAATCACGTCAGTATGAGTACGATCATTTTTAAAGGGACGTCACGTCACGTCAGGTTTCAATAAATGTCAACCTGAAAAAATTAGGTTATAACCATATTATTAACTGTTTTGAAAAAAAATGTTTTAATTACTTTTATGTTTTTTACTTATTCAAGGGCTAAACGGCAAATGTTGAGTCGGGATGGTCTTCATCTAAGTCTAGAAGGTTCTGAAACTTTTGGCATCTACCATAGAAGATTAAGTTCTACCACCACTGCCTTTAATGACACCCTGACACTTAAAGATAATTTTGTCGGACCACAACGATACAGCGACGTTATCAGAAGAACGATGATTAACTCGCAAGTAGTGTGTGCTCCTTGTAAGTCGACATCCACTTCAAATATGCGTGTGTCGCAAGAGCAAAGAAAATGGGTTCTAGCTCCAAAGTCACGCTTGTGGTCTACGCCTTCTAGAAAACTGTCAGTTCCTTCCAGCCAACAATCACCACATTCCCATCAGACTTAAGTCAGGTTTTATAAGGATGAATATCTCGAAATACACGCACCTAGATATGTCATGACGTCCACTACTTCCAGCGTCGCTGGTAAGAAATTGAAAACGAAAAGAATTATTTGACACGGAGCTTGATGACATTGTCCGTTGGATCGAAGACTCGCACAAAAGTCACAAAGTAGTTTAATCTCAAGGAGTATATAATGCCAAATAGTTTATATATTTATAATAATGCACGTCTGTAGCGTTGCTTTTCGTTGTAAAATCGTAAATTATTTGTGCTGCATATAAAGTCGTAAGGTGATATCAATAGAATATATTGTCACGAATTAGAAGTATATTTTTACTGAGGAAGCATCATAGTTCATTTGTTTAATATATATTATTCGTTTATGAATGGTTGTTTTCAATAGCACAATAGCACTCTTGTCTATCGGCGCGGGTTATATAATACAGGGTCATATAACATGACAGATATCATTATTGCCGTAAATATTTTCTTAACATACTTCTAATAATGATATATTGCAGGATATTTATCAAGCCACGGAAACGAACACTACGGGAAAATAACAAAAAATACTTAACTTTTATATCCATTTTATTCAGTTACTAAGTTAACAATTTTCTTTGACAAATTCGCAAAATATTCTCTATTTTTATATTTTTTATAAACATTTGGTTTCCATTAATTCTTTACAAATAATGTTATCCGAACCGATGTAATATTTTGCCTTTAAAAAGTGCTTACGAATATTAAACCAAGAGAGAATGGAATACGTCGCCAATACATATGTTACATATCTAGTACTGATTTTTATATTTAATGGAGTTCTTTTCCAACACCCAGCTTCTACATGGAGTCTCTGGTTTCTTGCTCGAAAGTTAATTATATATTAACTAGTAATTAGGTTGTGCATTTTCAAACTATTCTCAAATTCAAATTTTGTTTAAAAATGTTATTGACACACTTGCTTGAATTTTCTGTATTTGAGTACAAATCATTCAAGAAAAGATGAGACATTTTTGCTTCATAAAAACTGTTGACAAATTGGTGTTTGGAATCTCATGGTAAATGCAAATACCTTTTCAAAAGGATAGGTCTATGATGGGAATATTTTCAATTAGTATTTCAAATATTGATAGAAGGATGCATTTAAGTGGATAATTACATCTAAATATTAATGCATGTCTACCGGTATGAGACAATCTATTAATTTTATTGCATACCGGTAGTGAATTCTTATCTATGAATTGGTAATTATAGATGACTCAAATTAAATTTGATTCTAGAAAGAAGACAATTGAATATTGAAATTGAAACTTCTTAGGTTTTCTTTCAATAAACAGAAAAACTTTCCTGTATGGTATATTTAAGTAAGTTCTGTATAATCTACACTGTCTTACATGAGATATCTTATCGGTCCATTTGCTTTGTCTTTAAAACGCTAGCGATTCTGTACTTGTATTTGTCACCAATTTACAGAATCCATTCGCTCATGTTCATCGTTTCCTTGTTACCACAAAAGGGTATGTATGAACGCACAACAAAGCCTATGGAACCATTTGACATCCAGCTACAGCTGCATGTTGTATATTCTATGGATTGTGATTTAAGAACCTCTATCGGGACGGCAATAGATGTTCAATAATTAATGTATTGTAGTTGCTTAAACTTCTTCAAAATTCATACTTAATAGTTACATCATACTGACCGATGACATAAAAACTAAATATATTTAAACAAAATGCAAAACAAATATGAAATACTTAAAACCGTCCAATATTTTTATATGATGTTAGTGTGTGTGTGTGTGTGTGTGTGTGTGTGTGTGTGCGTGTGCGTGTGCGTTGGTGCGTGCGTGCGTGCGTGTGTGTGTGTGTGTTTTGTTGATTTTTATTTTAATTTTGTTTGTTTGTTTTGTTGTTGTTGTCTTTTGAGGAGGGGGGGGAGGTAGAGAATGGGGTTGTGCGTTGTTTTTTATAAACCATTTCGCCCGTAAAACACGCCACCCTTCAAAATGTCCTCCGTTGCCAAGTCGTTAGGTTCGAACCATTTGTCACTTCTTTCATGTGAGAAAGTCATCTAGACAATATACTTATGATCGTTGAATTTCTGTTCTGTCCTAAAATTTTGGCAAGGGGTGTCGGAAACTAAAAGTTTTCCTAGGGGTCGCCATGGCAACATGTTACATGATCTGTCAGATAACAAAATGGAGCCTTTCAACTAAGACTACGTGAAAAGGGGGAAACCGCGTGTGCAATGAAAGCAAAAAATTATAGTTACATATTGCAGACTCGGTTTCAATGCTAACATAAAAGCAGCTTGCAACTACGTTTTCAGCTGCTAATAGCTTCTAGCAACAGTTATCAAAGAAGCTTGCAATTGCAAGCAAGTTCGACGAAGATGGCACTGTATAGATATAATTGGTATATGGAGATGAGAGAAAATCATTTTCATTGTGTGTCAAGACTCATAATATAGAACAGATATCACACACGCGCGCGCGCACACACGCACGCACACACGCGCGCGCACGCACATGCACACTCGAATATCTAAATGATAATTATAGAAACATAAATTCTACCGACTTCAGGTAGCCAAGTTTTTCCTTATATCCTTATATTTCTTTTAAAATCGAGGAGGTTAATGTTTTAGAACCGCTATCTGTTTTAATGACTAAAAGTACTTAAAGTAAGGAAAAACAGTATTGAGTTGATATAACATTACATAAAAAGAACATTGATATATCAAAGTCAAACACAGCCACAACTTTTAGGTCGGTATTTAGCACTTTTATGAACGATAGCGAAAAAGTATCAACATGTATATGGTAACATTCACAAATTAATTATGTATTTAATTGATGGGTCATTTCGATAGAATTATTCCGATGACAAATGATGAAGTGCTGTGCAATTTTCCAAGTAATGTGTTTTAACATTTATTACATCCGTCTTTTGTTTGATGCTAGTATATATTTATAGAGTATGAAAAAAGGAAGAGAACAGCCATGGCCAGGGACTGGTTGTCTATGACGGAAGGTAATGGTTAAAACAACTGAATTAATTGGTAACAAATTATACTTAAAACTTAAACATTATTCTTAGTAGTTCTGCAACGCAACATGAATATTTTATTTTGGTTAATTGATTATTTTAAATGTTCTATAGTATCCATACTGTGGAACACAAGATATTTTCCTGGTCCCTTTTGTTAGCGAATCTGCAAGTTTACTTTACACCAGTTTACAAAAGACATTTGCTTTTCTATAATGACAGTAAACTATCGTTTTACTGAAACCACAACCAGGGCTGTATGACTGAACAACCAAGCCGTTGGAACCATCTGACATCCAGCTACATGCGCACATCTGGTATCCCATGGATCGTGCTTGTATAACTTCTGTCGGGGAGGCAATAGTTGTTCCATAGTCAATGCATTGTTGCTTAGCTTGTTCAAAGGTCATACCGTAGCGCCCATGTTGACCAGTGGCGTGAAAAACTGCAAATATATAGATCAAGTGAAATACAGATATGTAAAAAGAAGTGGTCCGATAAATTTGATCTGGACCAATTGGAAATGTCTTGTTCAAGATTTTTTTATTCATTCGAGTTTTTATATCTATTTAAATAATAATACAAGCAGATTTATATGTGAAAATACTAGATTAATTTATGACATGATGAACTATGTGAACAAATGATATTCCTTGTTTACTTCTTCTCATAGACTCTGAAAAAGTTTATGACTCATTATCTTGGAATTTTGTATCAACATTAACTCATTGTGGATTTCTTTCCAACTGTATTAAAATTTAAAGGGGTTGTCGTCAAGTTGACCCTTTATATTAAATTGTTATATTTTATCTTTTGTTCAGAAAAACTATCAATAAAAATTAGGTCAATTAAAAAGTCAATGGTAATTCAATGAGCAATACTGAACATGAATAATTTAATACAAACGTTGTGCTCAATGGCTCTGATGAATCTTTAAATAAAGTTCTAAACACACGAAGTGGATTTTTCTCTGTTTTCATGTCTTAAAGTTAATTTTGACAAAACTAAGGTTGTTTGGATTGGTAATCTTAAAGTTATTTTCTACAGTTTTAGAATAGAATTTTCTATTTTTTTGTATGATAAGTAAAATTTAATGGCGAATTAAATATAAAAAGAAATGTATATGTTGACGTGTTAGATTTTTTTTTGTAAAATGGCAGTTTCCATGGTAACCGTATATATAAAAAGTGTCATAATAGCCACACTGTGTTTATAAAAAAATAACATGTATAAGACATTTATGCAAAGATAATTTTATCAAATGATTCTGTATGAAACAAATGATAATTTGAACATATTTCTTTAAAATATGAGTTTTTCAAGCTTCTTTATGAACAAAAAATGAGCAAAATAAACATTAACTCTTTACGTTATTAAAATTTCGAAATATTTCTTTTGTAGAATTTTCCAAATTTTTTGCATGATAAGTAAAATTTAATGATAATTTCAAAAATAAAAATGAAAATATATGATGAGGTGTTGGAGTTTTTTTTTAATTGACAGTTTCCCATGGTAACCGTATATATCTCTCAAGTGTCAAAATAGCCACACTGTTATAAAAAGTGTATTAGACAGCTTATTACGCACAACAAGCATACTTTTATACAAAGACAATTTTATCTAATCATTCTGTATGTTAGAAAAGATAATCTGAACATATTTCTTCTATATTTCATGCTTCTTAACTCAACAAAAAAAAATGATATTCAAAAATAAAAATATAAGTTGACGAGGGCAGTTCCATGGTTACCGCATATGCTTATCTATCAAAATGACCACGATTTCTTACTTATTAGTGTTATACCAGATGCATTGTTATATACACACAACAAAAACAAATTGATATATAGATTTGTATCATTTTATGTTAATGATTGAAGTAAATTATACTGAACATATTTTCATTACAAGTCTCCCATAAGGACTATATATTATTTCTTCACTCTGCTAACATACGACCACAGTAAGCAAGTATTTAGAAAAAAGGAACATTTATTAGATGTTAATTTTTTTTTCTAATCAACATTTTTTAATAGATCGTTTGGCTACCCTAATTTGAGTGGCGAGACACTTTCGTCACTACAATAACAATTCAAATAGCATTAAAATTAAATGGAATTTATCTTGAACCAATCTACTTTAGATATTTTCAGGTATAACCTACAAAATGGTGGCAATGTATTATAAAGAAAAAAATTAGCAAAATGCAGAAAATATTATCCAATTGGAATCGAAAATTTCACTCTAACTGAAAAAATTGTAGTCTTTAATTTGTTGTTGTTATCTATAATATTCACTTATTTCTTTGCAACATTGCCGAATCCAAATCCTAATATTATTAAAAAATTAAATGAAACGTACAGAGAATTTGCCTGGCTGAGTCAAAGTAAAATTAAACAAAATGTCTTGATGCAAAATATTGATAAATGTGGTATTGGAGTGATTCACGTAGAAGCCTAACTTTACGCTTTAAAGATATCTCGGATAAAAAGAATATTAATAAATTATTCAAAATCGATAAGTTTAGCATGCTCAATTTTTATGTAAAGAAATTAATTAATTGCGGTATTGGGTATCTAAAAATATAGTGGAATAAAAATTATTTTGGAAGCTTCAAATTACATGCCTTGTAAACATTTAGAAGCAGAGGAAAATGAATTATTTTCTCTAACCGTTCGGTAACTTTTGGCAACCAATCTGTCTTCTTTTAATTCCTGGTTTAATGCATGTTACGTTTCATAGGTGATCTTTGGAACCAAACAGACAATTTTATAATTTAAATGAATTTATTGACAAATTTAACATAAATATTAACTTTAGAAATTATCTTGTATTTAGAATAGTGTATCCAATTTCCTTTTAACTTTTGAAAGAACAAAAAAAATGTCATTCAAAGACGTTTTACACCACCATTCTTAACCACCATTCTTACATCACTGTCCGGTAATTGGCTCAATTGTTGTAACTTTATCCTAGGTTTGGAAGATAGTAATTCAACTGCTATAAAAATCTGTTTTTGAAAAGATACCTGTAGAATAAAAGAATAGGTACCAAATACTACAAACACAGCAATATATAAAGTACCAAATTTAAAATAAAGATACCTTCCTTAATACCTGGAATCTGTTTTTTGAAAAGATAGATCCACACTTATTCTTTCTAATGTTTTAAAGCTAGAAACGAAGACAAAAATGAAAAATAACACACAATAACATACAATTTGCTAGTTTTTGTTCCCATTCTGTTAGGTTAAATACATGTAATAATGTTTCGTAAGATATGAATTTTATGTGACAAATCATTATTATATGTAACATGTGTAGTCTTTATCTCGAATGTGTAGGAATAAGCTATAAACATACGTTCGAATCTGTTCCCGGAACCAACCAGTACTGAGCAATGAGTGCAAGGTTTTTTATCAAGGAAACAACGACTTGTCCCTAACGGGGTTTGTACCCATGCGGCTAGTGGTCATAAGATTACTCGTATGTTGTGCACATATATGTTGTACGGTATAGAATAGGATGCCCTCGACCTACATATACATATTGACAAGGAAATAAAGAAAATGGAACAAAAAAAAAACAAGTTTATATTTATCGTAATTAAAATCTTTAATCTCAGCCGTTTTGATATTTAAAAGTAGTTACAAGTTGTTACTGAGCCTGACACGTCAAATGTCGGATACTGACTTCTATCAATGTCAACCACCTTAAAATTATATAATTATATATTATCATTTCAGGTCGAATTGAATATTACCATACCTAAAAAAACTAAAAATACTAGATTCACAACGTCAATAAAAGAAATATTGAAAATTTAATACAAATATGATTTTTTTCTAAGGAATAGAAGGACTGTTTATTGCAAAGATATTATTAACGAAGAATCATGCGCATTATCATACTCAAAACATAATATCACATAATATCAAACATAGCTGCAAGAAAAAGCATATAAAGTATACTGTGAGCAGCTGTGAATAGTAGCCACTTTCAGGTGCAACAATTTCATGAAAGAATGTCTTTGTTCAATTATTACGAAAAGTTTTATTTATTACCTGGATATCTCATCTTCGTCATTGTAGTCCATCCGTCAGAAAATAACAATCCACTGGGAGTACCAGGTATCTGCAGACCGTCATCAATTGTATCGTACGACGACAACAGACAGTTTTCTGCCGGTGATTTGAATGACGCCGTTATACAATCTTGCTGCATGGAACAATACATCATACAATTAGCAAGACTGCTAGAACTGGTTTCATTAGATATATTCTCATCTTTGAGTTTATAGTTTATCCGAGCTTTATGTTGGATATTTTGTTCCGCTAAACATAGTTGCACTATTAAATATGTTACAAAAAATCGCTTACATCCTTTTAGAGACATATCCAATAAATAAACGGGTTTTTAACAAATACGTTTTAAATATATGCTGCTACAACTGGGATATGATCAGTACTAAAATAATAAAAGCGTGGCGTTTTGTTAATGATCAATAGATCATAATAGACATCCTTATGAATAATTCAGGCATAACTTTAAACGCCAGTGATTTAGAAATAAATCTATTATTTTTAATATGTTTTAAGTCATGCCTGTCGTGGAAAGGTCACAAAAAACGGGCTTGTTGATATATGCAGGCTCTATGTTGGAAAATCAAGTAAAATCTCACTAAATGCATCAACTTATTGTAAAACTATGCTTCAATTTACTGGCAGTCATTTCAGTATTGCCACGGGATTGTATATTATGGTATAGAGCGGAAAAATATAACAGCTTGCTTTTTAAGTCTGAATATTTCAAAAAGCTTCTTTTTAAAAATTTATCCGTCATATCAACTATTGAACTTCACTGTGGCCTATTACGTGGTTTATGAAATAGGATGGCCGATCACTCATTACTGCAAAACTGAAAATGTTGAAGGCTCGGTTTTATTCAGCCTGCTCATGAACGGTAGAAGTAATGGCAAGCTACTGTTCAAGGCCCCCATGGATTTAAGCAGAATTCTACACTTAACATGAACTCTTTTTTTTTTAAATTTTGAATTTAGATTTAACCGCAGATGTGTTCGGATCGCGGTTATCATGGAACCTTCAATATGAAACGTAAGTGCCATTCCACGAAAAGGGTCATATGGTCCCCAAGTAAATTTGCGTGTGTAAATATCAGGAAAAACGTTGTCTCTCGGAAGCATTAAAAAGAACAAAATAACATGAAAATTGCAAACCCGGTTTGATTGAGTCTGTACATGAGGAAGTGAAACATCCTTCACGTCCCCTGAAGATATAACTATGTTGATATAGGGACTAACACCAGGTAGGTGTCTCTTTTCACACAAATTCTTCTGATGAAAGTAAAATGTAAATAACCCATAAATTTGCCACTGTTTACAATTTTTTCTGATCGCAATTGTAATGCCACGACATATCAAACCAAACGATAGGCCACTGTGTACTGGTTAATCATAAATTAAAGTTCCTTAACACCACCTTTCCTTTTTGATCTAGTTTACCATATTCCCTGTTGATTATTGTGATGGCCAGTGTTTCTAGTATAAAATTGCACAGTAAATGATGTTTTACACATGGAAAACATGTTATTACTAAATGATATCAAGCTAAAATTTTATTTTTAAACATAACATGCAATGAAAACATGTACGCAGGCTATAGTTGGAAGAGCGTAAATCATCTTTCAATTTCAACACTAATACCGAAGAAACAGAAGAAAACAAAAGTAACATGTATCACTAAGATGAAGTAAAGTTTTATCTTTTTACGACTGCCATAAAATAGTCTAAAAATCGCTCATCGTTGAGGCATAATTACGAAGTACTTTGAGGCGTACATGAGATATTGTAATAGGAATACACCCAACCCACCCTTCCCTTATGCTGAAGAACTCTTAAAACACATCAATATCAATTTATGAATGCTTAAAAAGAAAAAAACATAACATTGATAGTTTAATTGGGTATGTGATACTCAGGGTATGCCAGGATAGCAGCTTGTAACTAGTGGCAGAGCTTTGACTGATCGTGAAAACTAATGACATTTTGTATTTGCGTATTAATCATTAACGGATTAGATGAAAAAATGCATGTATACAAACTATATATTGTTCAATGCTTGATGATGTAACTGGAGACTATTTCTATTAGGGAATGCAAACTTACAGCTCGAATTTGCTATTCCTTTAATTATCTGTTTACATAAATATTGACAAATAGGGGTATTGATAATTCTCATATAAAACATAATATTTATCGCTTTAATGTTTAACTAGCTAAACAATTACTCACTTCTTATCTGTTCAGCGTAACAGCGTAGTGGAAGAGTGTTGTCTTTATGATAGAAGAGACCCTGGTTCGAATCCTTGAAGAAGCATTTTTTTCTTTTATTTGCAGAACTTTTAACAACGAACTTCATTTCAGTTCTCATGAATTACATTCACACAATGCTACTTGGGAACATTTAGTGTTACACACATTCGCATTCAACAGGTTAAGTTACAGACAACACTTGCCTTACTAGCCTCAGTTGAAGGTATAGGAGGGTCGAACATTAGTAAACCATTTATCATTATATTATCATTTATATATCATTATATTTCATGTTTTTATATTTTATTTTGCAAAACCAATTTCTTTGTTTTTGTGTATGCAAATCACCCAGTGTACGACATTACTTATTGGAATTATGAAAAGTTACATAGTTACACGCATGTATATCAAAGTTATGAAAATAAGAAGACACACACAAAAAAACGAGAAATAAATAATGATTTATCCACTTATACTGCATATAAAGAAAAATAGTGAAAGAAATCTAAAATCGAGGATTCCAATATGCATTTTCACAATTTCAATGCCATCTTACTTACTACTTGACAATCGGGTCGTTATTATGCAAATGAAAGTATCGAGAACTTACTATCATTAAAAATAAATGGGTAGATCGTAATGAATTACGGAAACTAACGATAAATCTCCTGATAATTAATCAGTTTCAGGTAAATATTGCCAGGTATAAAATACTAAATTAAAGGGACATCATGGGTCAAGTGTATTTTATTGGAAATCGGCTTGGACTGCTCGGATTTATTTTGTTTCGATGTAGAAGTCGTATGGATAGTCATTGGTTAATATGGAAATATTTGGGACCAAAATGGACGTTCGGCCGGCAACCTGAATAGACAAGAGCATGAGTTGTGCTTAGATGCCCGATAATTAGCAAGTTCCTAACTAGGGGAATTTCAATAAATTGCCTGTTCGGCGTTTTCTTAGGTCGCTGAATAGAACATTTGAGTATTGACAGTTTTACTTAGTTTCTTGGTTTGTTAATATGAATCATTTGTTTATTATTTTTAGTTAAGCTATACATACAGTTAACGGGAGCTGATATTGACTACTAGTTCTAGATCTATATATTGGATTGGATTTCAAGGTGGAACGAATGTAATAATATTACTAGTCCGATTGAATGAGAAGACAAAAATAAACTTACACAATCATAATTATAAATAACACAAATATATACTATAGGAGAGTTATAGCTTTTTTCAATTAAAAAATTCTATTGATTATAACGCGATCCAATGAAGCTTGAAATTAGATTTGTTCAGTAATGTCAAAATGCGTATTTGTTTTTGTAAATACTTGTGAATAATAGTAGTAAAGGGTTTAAGGGGTGAGTAAGTAGGAGCTGGTGCAAGTGCAAAGGAGTAAGTGCTAGGTGCGAATTGCCTATTGTGAGACGTGTTATAATTGCATGGTGGAGACGTGTTAAAAGTGTATTATTATTATTATGTATCACGCTTAAGCCTATTATTATAATTTTTACGGTAATTGATTGAACACGCGCTATATGTAAATATTTGAATAGACCTTTAAAGCGAAAGTATACTTTGAAAGGTGGTACAAAGGAAACTATTTAATACACAATGGCCAAAAAATGTAATAAGCTTTGTTTACGGAGCATAATGTTCCGGTGCACGCGGCTGTATTAAAAACATTAGCTGGCGATATCAGTTAATACTGTAATACTGTCTGCAAAGTACATGTAAACACATTAAATGAGTACAGTTTGTACTTCCTTCGAAGGGTTTGATTCTAGTAGTACCCACTCTAGCTACAATGAAGTTGAAGCAGACGAACACCAAGCGAAAAACGAGGCTGATACTTCTTCGACTCAGTCGTCTGCTTCAACGGGCGTTACTAGAGACTTTTCGCGGAGGCCAGGCTGCAGTTCCGATGGAAATTATTCGGATGGTTTTGCGCATCATAGTAATAGTGAATGGTACAATAAGGAATCTTTAATTAAATTCGTTACACCATGTTCCATGAGTCTTATAGGTATAAGCGGAAGCGGTAAAACGACGTACATAAAACGCTTGCTCGAGCAAGCCGACGGGGTCTTTACAGAGGCGCCAAGCAGAGTCATATATTGCTATAACGTTTACCAACAGTTATTCACAGAAATGGGCAGTACTGTGAAAAATATAAGCTTTTATCAAGGTGTTCCGGACCGCGAAACGATTGAGAATTGGGCGTCGGCTGAACGGCACCTGATGTTAGTGTTTGACGACATGTACCAAGAGATCACGTCTAGTAAGTCAATATGTGACTTAACGATCATGTTATCACATCATTTGCGTATATCTTGTATTTTTACGTCACACAATATATTTACGAGTTGTCGTTATTCAAAAACAATCGCAACAAATCTTCATTACATATTATTGTTTACACTGCGAAATAGACTACAGTTAGCAGTGCTCGGAAGTCAGTTATTTTGTCATAAAAACAGAGCAAAAAATTTTGTTAAGGTATATGATATGGTTACTGAAAATGGTAACGGCGAACTCGGCAATCCGCTTATAATTGACAATAGCCCGGTGTCCATCAATAAACAATTTAGACTACGCTCCAGGGTATTAATCGGGGACTTACCTATTGTATATGAAATTGGTTAAAAATGACCGCGTGTCAGTGTAAGCATGGAGAAACTCTGGAAACATTTACATCTCTTAAGATACCTTAGCAGTTCGGATAACGGTGTAATAAGAAGAAGGATAATCGAATCCGCAACTTCGGAGCAATTGACAGTTTTTTCTGAAATATCATTAAATATTCTGAGAGGAATATTTGATCTGTCTGATCAGGAATTGTCTGTTCTGGAGCGAAACAAAACAGTTTTACGGAAACTTGCTGATAAAAACGTAGATATCAACGAAAAAAGAAGACACCTACTTAAACGTAGTATCTGTTTAAAACACTTGCTCTCTGTTTTCTTTGAATATTTGCCGTCCTTACAAAAGAATGGAAGAAAGCATCAAGAAACTAGTCGTGATTCCCCAGACTCAATACCAGAAGCTGATCCGAAACAGGGAAAAGTCGGATATGAACTCGCGGACAGTTCAGGCACCTCAGACAGTGGAGACGACGATGACGACGAATTCGACGGAA